GAGGAGGAGGAGGAGGAGGAGAAGGAGGAAGAGGAGGAGGAGGAGGAGGTAGTGGGGGAGGAGAAGCAGCAGTAGGAGCAGGAACAGCGAAGAAGAGAGATGACGATATTGAAAATATATTATGCGAAATTTAACTGTCACGATGCTATTCATCATCTTTTAATTCGAAGGGAGAAAAGCGTAAACTGCCATATAAAAACCTCAATTCGAATGAATCCGAAAGTAACACAAATTGAATATTGTGTTCTTGTCTGTTTATTGTCCAAAACCAAATTTTTTTGTAATATCACTACTGAAAAAAAATTAAGAACATTAGTGTTAGATTTGTTAAATAGATCTAGTTCTTATGAACAAGAAAGCTCTGATTATCTTTGGGACAAATTTTAATATTATGTAGATCTAGGTAGTTTTGTTTCTTGCATTTCGATAACGAAAGCGCTTGTTGTGTAAAAACTACACGTTCTGAAAGTCATCTGAATCGAAACTAAATCTAGAATCTAGATCTAGATAGACATCTAATTTTTCTTACTGTCATTCTTGAAATTCTCTGACTTTTATTTGACCAGAACGGATTGGAGCTTTTTTATTTCTGGCAAGGTGAGGATATTTTTGGTTGTTTTGTTCGAGAATAAGAAGTTTCAGTACTCTGCTGCTTTTTCACAGCTCATCATTCTGGTTCACTGTCAGTGTCAGTCATTCATAAATTATTGAAGTTGAAGAGTGAGACTTCTCTCAGCTCTTTGACTGTGATTCCCTGTTTACTGTTTGTTTGGGGTTTTCTTTTTTTTTTTGGTAAGTGTTTTACGGCACTCGCAACTGCATAAAGTCATATGACCGCGCGGGAAACACCATTTTCAATTGGAAGGAAATTTTGAATTTTACGCGCGTAGCCTGTAGCAGCCGAAGCCTACTCTTATTTATAATTTATGTCTTATCGAATTTAGACCACCAAAGTGACCAAGGGATCTTTAACGAAGGCAACTTGCACATGGGCCCTCCGAGATTTTTCGCCCTTGTCCAAGAAGGCTAGGTGTAGATCAGGGGTGTGGCCTAAAGACAGCAGTAAGAAGGAGCCAAGGAGTAGCAGTAGAAAGGCTGCAAAAGAGTCAGAGTCAGGAGCTCAGAATAGTTCTTTTCGTTAATCCGTTTTAACTGCGCTGCTTGTTAGAGACATTTGGCTATGCACATTAAATTGTATGGGTATAAAATAGTTGTTTGAGAGGGGGATCCATTTACTGGCGGTATTTAATTAGGCGTGAGAGCTAATTAAAAAGGGAGTGTATACAGACCCGGTAACCGGGAACAAAGTCACAAAGTATACAGACCCGGTAGGGGAACTCTTTTGTGATTTCGGAAAGTTTCAGCGCCTGTTGGCTCAGGGAAGACCTAGGTTCTTCTAGATCTATGGCCCAGGTCTAGATCTAGATAGACAGACATTATAAATCATTGATCTAGTTTCGAGGCTAGCCTAGATCTAGATCTAGATC